AAATGAAATATATAGGATCACAAAGGAAACCAATTACATTGAAACAGCTATTTAATATGTAGTTTTAAAAAAAACCACTGGTTCATGGACTCCAGGTTAGGAGTGCCAGCTCCAAGACTCAATCTACAGAGGAGGTGCTGACCTGAATTAGTAGGGAGCTTTCCCTACGCCAATAAAATCACAGGTCCAGGCCCTAATCTTCTAAAAGATGTGCAAAGTCTGTGTTCGGTATAAGATACAGCTAAGATATGGTCAGGAGATAGACAGAGATAGACCAACCACATAAGTAAATGTTGCATGATCTACATACATTAGTGAGGTCCAAGTAAAGTGCTCTATCATCTGAAGTTGTCAAGAGGTAGAAGGAGGGAGAGAAATTAACAAAGGAAGGCTTCCTAAAGGAGGCAGCATTTGAATCAGCCTGGAGGAAGGAAGATATGCCAGGCAAAGGAAATATTAGCAGCAAAGGCATGGAGGAGAGAAAACTCTCCAGGGAATGGTGCACAATACAGTTTGGTTTTGAGGGTAGATTACCTGGAAGAATAGCGTCAGATTACGCAGAAAATGTAGGGCGGCTCCAAATTACAGAAGGCCTTGAAGGCAAGATGGCAAAGTAGATTTTAACTTGACATAGGAGGAAGTAGGGAAACACTGCAGATTTCTAGATGGAATATTGTGACCAGGGGGAGGGGGAGGGGAATAAGCATTTATGTGGCACCTATCACATGCCAGGCACTGTGCTAAGTGTTTTGCAAATATCTCATATCAGATGCTAAGATTCACAGCTGAGAGATCATCGGGTCCACTTCCTTCATTTTACTGATGAAAGAACAAAATCTATGTAAGGCGATGATTATTACAGTTACCCAGAAAGAGAGAGACACACACACACACACACACACATAAATGAAGAATGCACATTAACCAAAGTATGAATGACAAGCAGCTGAGTGAACAGTTCAATGAGCTGATCCATGCCTATGCAGTTACTGCAGGTAGAAAACAGACTACACCCAGAACTAAACAGTAAGAACAAGGAGGGCTAGAGTGAGCTTGGACAATAGCACAGCTGTCTATGACCTCAAGCTGCCACCTAACACACAAGACCATTAAAATGAAAATCACGTTCTCTCGGTGGTGGGACAGCTAGGTGCCACGGTGACTAGAGTGCCAGGCCTGGAGTCAGAAAGACTCATCTTCCTGACTTCAAATCTGGACTCAGACACTTAGTAGCTTTGTGGCTCGGGCAAATCACTCAACCCTGTTTGCCTCAGTTTCTTCATCTGTAAAAAAAAACGAGCTGGAGAAGGAAATGACAAACCACTCCAGTATCTCCGCCCAAGAAAATCCCACATGGGGTCAGGAAGAGTAGGACACAACTGGAAATGGCTGAACAACAAATCCCCTCAGAGCTCAGGATGCCATAATCTCGGAAGACTCAAATTACAGGTGACCCAAAGGGCAATGGAAACATTTATGGTGGTTCTAAGGCTGTAGTAAGCACCAGGGATACAAAAAGAGCCAACAGACGGGCCCAGCCCTCAAGTTTCTCCTCATCTGCAAATTCCCTGAATAAAAAAAAAATCCTAATTCCAGTTCTTAGGCCTCTATGGGTTGGCCTAGATGGCCACGTCAGTCTCTTCCAACCCCAGGACCTTAGGAAGATCATCTAAGAGTGCAGTATAATAGAAACAACAATGGTTTTACAACTGGGTGAGACCTGGGTTTGAATCCCACCCCTAACATCCTTACTAGTTAGTTGTGTAAGCATCCCCCCCCCCTTAAATTTTTGAGGGTCAGTTTTTTTAACTGTTAAATGAGGATGACAGAAGATGACGATCACAAAGGTAGGGCTCTAAACCAAATCCTCCAACTTCAAGTCCCACGCTCTTTCTACTATAAAACGTTGCTTCTTGCATTCCAAGCCATCCACAAACTGACCAAAATCTACCTGAGACAACTGGCTTTTGAAAGACTTAAGAATTCTGATTAAGGCAACAACCAACCACATTTCCAGAGGCCTGATGATGAAGCACCCTCCCCACCTCCTGACAGAGTAGTTGAGACTTAAAATGCGGAATGAAATATACCTTTTTTGGCCAATATATTAATTAGTTTTGTTTGACTGCCCGTATTTGTTACAAATTCTTTGTTGTCGTTTTTTAATTCTTCTCCCCAGTAGGAGTGAGGGAGGTGGGAGTGAGAAATTTTTTTACTCTGCTTCCCAGTCCCTTCAGTACCACCCCCTCCATAAACTCTCTGCTCTAAACTGTTCAAATCACTGTCTCCTGGGGCTTTCCTATGCACCTTTGCTAACATCTTAGAATGGCCATGTCTGTCTCCATGGTTATTGCAGCTCCCACAGACCCAGAAAAGACATTTTTCCCCACCAAAGTCCTTGGCACTATCATATGGCTCAACATCAGAAACAAACATGGTTTTATCAATGGAAAGAATATTAAAGAAAATACATTGCCCTCTGCCTTTCAACTCTACCCTAAGGACCAATGGAAAGAACGATGCTTTTGCGGTTGGACGACCTGGGCTCCAGCCCTACCTCTTTTACTTACTGGTTGTGGGACCTAGGGAATGTCTTTTAACTCTATGGGCCTCATCTTCTTCAACTCTAAAATGAAGGGATTAGATTTAGATGGCAGTCTGATGCCCCTTCTAGACCTAAATCTCCAGATCCTGGGACCAGAAGGTCTTTCCATCTACTTTGCAGCTGAAATTTCCTTATATGTGTTGTCTCCTCCTATCTAAAGGTGAGATCTTTTGACATCAGGGATCACCTAAGCTTTTCTGTTTAATGCTTTTCATTCATTCATTCTTGGTATAAAAGAATTCTAGTCTTGGAGTCAGAAAGCCCAAGGTTAAATCTACCTTGGGATATTTGCTAGTTATAAACGATGGGCAAGCCATTTAAGGTGTATGAGCTTCAATTTCTTTATCTGTAAAATGGGGACGATACCTATGGTTCCTACCTCACAGGGTCATTAAGGGGCTGAAGGAGCTCATGTATATAAAGTGCTTTGCAAGCCTTAAAGCTAAACGTTAGTTATCATGGCATATCAAGACCTGGTTTGTTTCCTTACCCTTCCAGAAGACTTTCTCATACTACTCTAACCCATTTCATCCTTTAAACTAGATCACAGATCCAATTCTTGGCTCTATCTAATGTAAGGAAGGGAAAGGTGTCAGTCACTGAGTTCAGCCAATTGAACACAATGGCTGTGGGGTGAAAAACTTTGCCCCTGTCTTCGCCCCAAAGACTGCTCCACTAACATAGGGCTGGGTGGAGCTGTGAAATGGTTCAACCATTGTGGAAATAAGAAACTAAGATGTCCAAATCTCCCCAACCTTGAGATCTCACTCACAGGCATGTTTTTCAGAGGTCAATGACAAAAAAAAAAGGCCCCATAATACCAAAACATTTATAGCTGCAATTTTTGTAGCACAAAAAACTGAAAACAAAGTAGATGCCCACCGACTGAGGTAGCCACTGAGGTATATTCCAATTCTCAAATCCTATGATTCTGTGACCTTAGAAATTATGTAAGAGGTGGTATGAGGGACAGCACTGGACATAGAATGTATAGACACCTGGGTTTGAACTTCCTTTTCTGACACTAGTTATAGGACCACCCCTCGAAAAGTCATTTAAACTCTCCCAAGTTTCAAACTACTACATAGGAATGTAATGGAGCCTCACTTTGTTTAAAAAAAAAAAAAGGTAGGAAGAGTTGTTACCTATCCAAGTGAAATGAGGAGCAGAACCAAGAAAATAATATATAGAAAAATGTAAATAGAAATACAACAAAATAATTAAAAAACCCAAATACTTTTGAGATTATAATGACCAAGCTTAACACCAAAAGGGAGATAATATGGAAAACAACATACATAATGACAACAGAAATGTGAATTGAATGGGCATCAACAAATCAACCAAAACCGAATAAAGTACAATTGTAATGGGGAAAGTTGACCTTAAGGGAGAGCTAGAAGGCTGCCCCTGTCTTCTTTTCCGATGTGGGGGGCTATGGTTGTAGAATACTATATACACTGTCAGATATAACTGATGAGTTTGTTTTTGGTTTTCTTCCCCCCTCCCCCCCCAATTTGTGGCAGGGAGAGAAGCTAGGGTTTCAAAATAACAATAAAAAATTATAATAGTCATTGAGACATTTTTTTAAATGACCAAAAGAAAAACAGAAGAAGGAAACATAGACAAGCAGGAGTTTTGAAAGTTAAATGTTGAATTTGTTACAGACTTGAAAAATAAGCTTAACATAAAGATTTGTAGTTTTATGTACAATCTTTCTTCCTGTTCTACTTTGTATATTGAAATTCCAATTTTATTCAGAGTTAAAGATAAAATAATGAAGTTTTTTAAAAAGACTTAATTCTACATACTATTGTCACTTGCTAAGAAAATCTCTAAAGACTGCTAAAAAAAATGGACAAAGGGCCCCATCCACAAAGGGGCTACACTGTTCTTACGTTAGCTCCCAAGAAATGACCCTTTCCAAGGCTCCCCATCTCCAACCATGGCATCCCCAGTAACAAAAAGCTCTCTTCTTACTCCTTCAAGAGTTCATGAAATGAAGTCCCTTCCCTGGTGGCTAATAATTTTCAGACTCTTTGAACTACCAGTTTGGTAAGAACTTCATATACTTAAGCTCCTAAACACAGCCCTGGGATGACAGGTGAGGCATTAGAGGAAGATTTTATAGGCTTTGCTATATACTAAGACCCCTTTGAGCAAAACTAAAAGGCAGAAAACCAGAAACCTTCCACCCCCAGAAATTTTTAAAAGATAACAGAAGGAACCTTAGAGATTTAGTGTTACTGCCTTATGTGTAAAGACCTAGAGGGGAAGTGTCCAAGTTACAAAGTGCTTTGACTCCTGACTCTCACTGTTCAGAACTCTCTACACTGAACCCTGCTCTCACTACTACAACCCCTTCCAGGCTTGGTGACACCTCCCCCCCACCTACCTGTAGCACGGACAGGCTTGTCTGCCCAGAGAGGCTCAGCTTTTCCTGTTCTGAGGGGTAGGCATTGAAGCGGTGCTCATACAGCCACTCTCGGAGAATCTTCACAGATTCCTTTGGGAGGTTCCCTCTCCTCTTCCTCTTGCCTGCCTGGGTCAGATCCAGGGAGGTCAGCCCTTCCTCCTCACCCAGGTCACTGTCTGACATGCTTGGGCTGTCCAGGGTTCGTACAGGAATCAAACCTGTGGTAGGAGTGAGAGTGGAAGAAAAAGTCAGGGGCCAAAGAGAAATCAAACATCAGATCTTCTTTTTGCCCTGCTCCCCCTCCCAATTTTAATACATTTTTATGTAAAGTTCTGAGTTCCAAATTCTATCTGCCTCCCTCCCATCTCCCCTCCCTGAGAGGGCAAGCAATCAGATAATAGGTTATACATGTACGATTATGTAAAATGTTTCCATATTAGTCATTTTTTACAAGACTTGAATACAAGGAAAAAAATGAAAGAGAAAAATAGCATACTTCAGTCAATATCAGTTCTTTCTCTGGAGGCAGATAGTATGCTTCATCATCAGCCCTTTGGGATTGTCTTGGATCATTGCATTGTAAGAATAGCTAAGTTATTCACAGTTGTTCATCAAACAATGTTGCTGTTCTGGTTTTGCTCACTTCACTTTGCATCAGTGCATGTAAGTCTTCCCAAGTTTTTCTGAAATCATCCTGCTTCTCATTTTTTATAGCACAATAATACTCCATTACAATCCTATACTACAGCTTGTTCAGCCATTTCCCCGTTGACGGGCATCCCTTTCACTTCCAATTCTTAACTACCACAAAAAGAGTTGCTATAAATATTTTTGTACAAATAGATCACTTTCCCTTTTTTTGGAAGTCTTTGGGATACAGACCTAGCAGTGATATTGCTGGATCAAAGGGTATGCGGTTTTATAGCCCTTGGGACATAATTCCAAATTGATCTCCAGAACGGCTGAATCAGTTCACAATTCCAACAGTGCATTAGTGCCTCAGTTTTCCCACATCCCCTCCGACATCTAACTTTTTCCTTTTCTGTCATATCAGCCATTCTGATAGATATAAAGTGGTACCTCAGAGTTGTTTTAATTTGCATTTCTCTGATCAATGGTGACTCAGAGCATTTTTCTGGTAGGCAATTGGGGTTAAATGACTTGCCCAGGATCACACAGCTAGTAAGTGTCAAGTGTTTGGTCTGAGGCTGGATTCAAACTCAGATCCTCCTGATTTCAGGGCCAGTGCTCTATTCACTGTGCCACCTAGCTGCCTCTGACTTAGAGCATTTTTTCATATGATTATAGGTAGCTTTGAAAACTGCCCCTTCATATCCTTTAACTATCAATTGGGTAAGACTTGCATTTTTATAAATTTGACTCAGTTCTCTATATTTGAGAAATAAGACTTATCAGAGATACTGTCGCAAAAATTTCCCCCCAGTTTTCTGCTTTCCTCATAATTGTGGTTTCATTGGTTTTGTTTGTACAAACATTTAAATTTCATGTAATAAAAATTTATATTTTACATTCGGTAATGCTCTCTACATCATTTTTGGTCCTAAATTCTTCCTTTATCCAAAAATCTAACGTCAGAGCTGCCATTTTTCTTCTAGCATACTACAGATGTCCCAAGATTTAATTTATCTTCACAATATCCCAGAGAGACAAAGGATGAATACTCACTCTCAAGAGACATCATGGAAGGAACTTTTAAAAGGATCACCTAAATCTAGACATCGTTCCCAACCTGAAGTACTTGATAAATAACTATATTATCTTATTCAATTTAATCACTTTATTTGTTAGGTGTGTATGCCCTAATATTTCTTTTCCTTTTGAAGCCCCCCCCCCCCGGAGGGCACCAGAAGGTTTATGAAAAAGATGAAAACCTCTGATAAAATCCAAACCTTGTACTGGGGTGGGGGGGGGGGTGTCTCAGGGAACGGAGGCCCAGATGGGAGAAGTGACTTGCCCAAGGTCACACAAAGAATCAGTAGCCAGGTCCTGATCCCAATTCATTCCAAAAAACTTTTATTAATGTTAATTCTAGTACCTCCCCTCTCTTATTTCCTTTTCATCCTGTATAGATTTGTTTGCTGTTGTATCCTTTATTTAGATGTTGAGCTCCTTGAGGGCAAGGACTGTCTTTCTTTGCCTTTCTGTATCCCCAGTGTTTAGTGCAGTGCCTAGCACTTAGTAGGCACTTAAGAACTGTTTATTGACTGATTTAAGGACCTACAATGAGAAAGGACCCTGGGGATTTAAAAAAAAAGTTACATTCTAAATCAGATGAGTCAACACCTAAACAGAAAAGCATATACATAAACATTTGAGGAAGGGAGCATTAACAGGGGCATCTTCGAAGGCATCCTTTAGGATGTGGTACCTAAAATTAAGCCAAGGACTGATTCTAGAGCCATTACTGAGCAGGGAGCAAGAAGTTTATTTAAGTCATGAGGAATTGCCTATCATACAAGTAGGAAACCACCTGCCAAAATTCCTGAGACATCAAGGGTAGGCAGGTTTGGCTAGCATTTTGACTCCAAGCCTTTTCCAGTTTCCCTTCCCTGAATATACAGCCTCCCTCCCCCCCCTCATTTGACTTTATATATGTATATATCACTCTGGGAAATCTGGGTTTAAATCTCACTTCTGACACCCTGCATGATTTTGAGCAAGTCATCCTTTGGGTCCTCAGCTTTCCCTTCAGTCAAATGGAGATGATGATATTTATGCTATCTCAATGGTCTGAAGTGACCTTAGAAGGTGTGACTAGGAATCCACTTTGAGTTTAACAAAATTGAAGAATAAGACCTTTGCTGGAGGTGTCTCTCTACTGTAGGTACAAACATCTCCCACTGACCCATTCAGAATGACTGAATCATGACTTATGTGCCAACCTGAACCACACCTTGCTATTTGGCCTTTAAGAGAGAGGGGGGGACACCTATGTAGACAGAGAAAGATGAGGAAGATGACAAAGATCAGGGCAGGGAAACAAAACTCACTGATTCCCTCAAAGGAAATTCTGCACCTCTATGGCACCCCTTTACATGTGGCCCCATCAGAGCAGGGAAACACATAGTTACAGACATTAACACCGACCAGAGGCGGCAGCAGAATATAGAGATTTCCTGAGTCAAACTGGAAACTCTAAGAACCACCAAATTGGCAGCAATACTGTGATAATGACAGAAGCAAACCTAGAAAAATGGGGGAATCAACAGACTTTGAGGCAGAGGTATACCTAGACCTGGGCTTCTTAACGTGGGGTTCATGAACTTTTCTGAAAAAACATTCTGACATCTGTATTTCAGAATAACTAGTTTCCTTCTGTGAATGCTTGCATTTTTTATGCATTTAAAAACAGTATTCTGAGAAGGGGGCCAAAGGTTTCCCCAGTCTGCTCAAGGAATTCGTGACATAAATAAGGGGAAGTACCCCTATGTTGGTTAGAACAAAACTAATTTCCAGGACAAAGCAAAGGTGCTGCTCAAAGACCAAGGTCAGCCATGCCTAAAGAAAACAAGAGATGAGAGACATTAACAGACTAAACCTGGACCTTATTCTGTCTTTGTGAATTATAAAACTCAATTATGTAGTGAGCCTTAGTTCTTTCCCCTTTTGGGGCATACAGGATATAACCATAAGATGGTGCTATTAAGTATGGATTACTGCACAGGTATCTAGAGGAGATGGGACTCATGGGAGAGAGGTCTTGACACACAGGACCTACTCCTTAGAGGCAATACAAGACAGTAAATCAAATACTGATTAAGTGCCTATCACACGCAGAGCACACAGGATAAAGTTTAGGCAAGCACCAATCTCCACCCTTCGTGAGCTAAGCTTAGTGCCTAGTAAAATCTAGTTCTTTGTTATTCCCACTTGGTCTAGCATAAAATATGAATTGCTGAATTTAACTGAAAGAAAGGCAATAAAAACAAATGACGTCTGTACATATATTCATCATTCGATTTTCACCACATGCCTGCATGGGTGGTTCTATCACCATCATCTGATTTTACAGATCGGCAAATTGTGACTAAACAGATTGAGAAGTTGTAATTTATTTGCCCATGCCACACAGAATGAGGTGGGATTCAAACCAAGATCTGTCCTTACTCCACATCTATTCCCTCTCTGATCTGTTAAGATTCCAGTCCTGACTGTGACTTAGGGCAAAGCCATGAGGTCTCTGGATTTCAATTTCTCTATCTGTAAAAACAGGGGTTTGAATTAAGATGATTCAAACTGGTCAAACCAGCCTCCAAACTCCTTCCTCACAGAAGAGAGAGAGAGAGAGAGAGAGAGAGAGAGAGAGAGAGAGAGAGAGAGAGAGAGAGAGAGAGAGAGAGAGAGAGAGAGAGAGAGAGAGAGTACTCAAGAATTATCTCAGAACAAGGATTCACAGAAAAATAGAAAAGAGAAAGAGAAAACAAAGAAAAACTGGAAAACTGACATCAAACCATCAGAAACAGGCCCCTCCCACTCCCCCACAAAGGAAGCCTCCAGCTCTGAATTCCTTTGGGGTGTTTTATCTGTTTGCTTAAAAAAAAAATCCTGGCTTTCATCCCCATCCCAGGCAGGCCCGGAAGATGTGTTTCCCTGCCTGGAGACCTTGATCCTAATCCCACAAGAAAAGTGAAGTCTTCCCAGCTCATCTCCCACCCTCACCCCATCCCCCTTTGCGGACACACATATTTTCTCGGGTAGCGACAAGGAGGAAGCTGGAGGGAGGAATTAAAGTTTGCTCAAGGTTATCTTGTACAAATTCTCTCTCGGCCTCCAGACTGCATCTGGTAAGAAGCAGCAGCGAAGCTGAGGCTGAGGATTGTGTTGGAATTCCTCCACCACCACCACCATCCCCCCCCAGCTCCCACACCAAATACAGATAGATCCAACACCCACCCCCCACCCCAAACAACTTACCCCTCACAACTCTTGACAACTCCTAACCACATAACTGTCATCAACAGCTCACACCAACACTACTACATGACACTAAGCTTCCCATTGGCCAGGGAGTTCTACGAAGTTTTTCTCTCTCCCAGTGCTTTGCACTGTGGGCCCTAAAACAGCTTTTGTTCAATGAAAAGATATACACCAACTCCCACAGAAAGGACACCTGCCTGATAAACATGTTCCCAACTTTCCCATGGACACAGTCTCACAATTCTTGACAACTTACACCAAACATTACTTCCAGACTAGCTGCTTGGAGGATCTCCCCCGAAGGGCTCTGCACACAATAGGCACTCGCCTATACAGAGATGTCATTCACCTGCACGACTTACCCATTCCACTTTCACAAGAACCGTCTCACTAGAGGCCCCCACAACTTTCACACGCGTGCACTCACACACACACCCCTTTGTATAAAAACACCCTTGCACACAAAGCCCACTCCGAGCTTTGCTGAAACACAGCTCCTGGGGCGCCCAGGCCAGGAAAGTGGGCTCTGTGCAGAGCACATGGCTTGGGGGCGGCGGGGGGAGGGGCCTTGGACGGGGAGAACGGGGCTCCCCCAGGATGGGGGCCGACCCTTACAGAAACCGAAGCGGGGAGAGTTCGAAACCTCCCCCCCACACACACAAACTCCACTTCCCCAAAGCTGCGTCCTACAATTACCCCCAGACTCGACCCTGGGGAGCTAACGCCACCCCTCTCCAAGCCAGGGGCAGGGGGTGTGTGTGGGGAGGGTAGGAGAATGGGGGGGAAGGGGCTTTCCGTGAAAGGGGCGGGAGAAGGGAAGGTGGCTGGAGAAGAAAGAAAACTCACGTGTCCAAAGGCAGAAAAAAGTTTCCTTGCCGCCCCCCCCTTCCCGGGGCTTGAAGCCGGTGTGCTTAGGGTCCCCCTCTCCTCGAGCCCAGGGATAGGGGGTTCAGGGGAGGCAGGGTCTGGGCTTTAAACCAGCCCCCCCTCCCCGGGAACGGGCTCCATGTTGGCCGCCCCGGACCCCCGCGGAAGGTTGCGTGGTCCCCGGCCGGGGCAGGTCCTGGGGGGCCTAGGGAGACTGCGGGGGGGGCGCCGGCTCCAGGAGAGGAGGGGGCCGCCAGCCCCGAGCCCGAGAGGGACGGATGGACTGACGGACGCCGGGAGACAAGAGTTTTCTTTGTTCCAAAGAAGCAGGAACTTGCGCGGGCCGAGCCCGCCCCCGTGTCCCTCTCCCCCGGCCCGGGCCCGCCCGCCTCCGCACCCCCCCCCCGGCTGTCACTGAATGCCACTTCCCACGCCCCCCCGGCCCCACCTCGCGCGGAGGGTCGGGGGTGGGGGGCGGGTGCGCAGAGGGAGCGGGCACTGGGAGGGGTGGGGGGCGCGGACAAAGGTGCCTACACCGCCTCGGCCGTCCCGGGGGAGGCTGGAGGGAGCCCCCTCCCCCGCCCCCGGGCTTGCACGCGCATGGCTTGCACGCGCACACACACACACACACACGCGCACACACACACACACACACACACACACACACAAACTTTCCCACTTCTCGGTCTCCGTCCCCGCCGCTGCCCGGACTCACTTTTCCGAGCAGCCTTCATGTCCACGCGGGCCCCTCGGCTCCGGGCCCGGGGCACGGCGTGGGGGGATGCGGGGGGTCGCAAGAGGCAAGCAGGCTCGGGGGGCGGCGCGGAGGAGGGGGCTCCGGGGGCTGCGCTCCCTGCTGACACACGCTCTGACAGCTCCCAGGCTGGAAACCACCCCGGCCGCCTGACGTCAGATCCCCTCCCCGCGCCCCCTCCTCCAGCCCCTGCCCGCCCCCCAGGATGCCCCTCCCTCCTTCCCCGCCCCCCGACCCGGCCGGGACCCCAAACCAACTGACGCCTAGCCCCTCGGCCGGGGGGAGAGGGAAAGGACAGAATCTAGGAGGTCACAGGGAAGGGAGCTGTGGGTTCCCAGGATACAGCTGAGGGCAGGACTCGCAATTTCAGCTGCCATCACCCCCAAGCGCTTCTGAAGTCCCGGGAATTTGGGGGCGCAGTACCTGGATAAAGGTGGGTCCCTCGCGTGGTCCGGCGAGAGGCAGCGCCTCGCCGTGGACAGAGCCGTGGGGTCGGAAGCCGGCAGACCTGGGTTCCGAATGCAGGCTCAGTCACCGCTGGTAGGAGAAGGATCTCGGGCTAGCCCTTCCTCGTCTCTGCACCTCAGTTTCCTCTTCTGTCCAATGAGGCAGTAGGCTGCTTCGCAACCCTCGGTTAACAGTCTTTTAAGCCTGGGTTGTTCCAACCTTTAGTCAGAGGTGCGAATTCAGATACTTCGCACCCCCTCCTTCGGCAAACAAGCCAGACTTGACCTCTCCGGTGGTTTTCTCCCCTGCTCTCCGTTTCCTCCACCCCCTCCCTACGGGCCCGGAGTTCGGAACCTCCCTGGTGTTGTACGAGAAAAGTGTGTGAACTTAAAACAAGTTTTATTAAGAGGCTGCTCAACTGCAGATAGTTGGCGCTTTAACCTTACTTGAATAGAATGCAATTGAATTGCTAACTTACTAGAGTTCCATTCAATTAAACTAGAGTTTAAGAAGAGCAAAGCGTGGTGCTAAGTAGGCTAGATACTAAAGAATTTAAAACAGGCCCTACCCTCAAGGAGCTTACATTCTATTGGCTAGAAGAAGATATTCCCCAGTATCACTAAAGCATCGCCCCTCCCCCCTTTGTTTGTACCCTCTGTTTGTTCTAGAGGCTTATAAACACAAAGTCCAAACCCGAGCTAGTAGAGGCATTTAGAATTGGATTGTTAGTACCTCGAGTGTGCGCCCCTCAAAAGCGAGGTCAATGAAGGGGCATTGAAGTCCACTTAAAAGCTGGGAGGGAAATCAGAGATGGAGACTGTGTGGTGAAAAATATTGCATCTAGAATTAGGGGACAAGCTTTGGAATCCCTGCCCTACTATCTGTGTGACCGTGGACCATTCACTTAAACTCTCAGTTGTCCCATCTGCAAAATGAATGAGTCGGACTAGATAACCAGGAAGACTCTTTCAGCTGTACGTCTTTAATACCTTAGGTCATCTAGACCAACTCTTTCATTTATTGAGGTCGAAACTAAAGCCCAGAAAAGACTTGTTCTAAGTCACACCGCCAATGAATGACATACCCAGCAAGTTGGTGGTGGAGTAGGAGCTTTACAGAAAAAAAGTCTAGAATCATTACCAGTGATACTGGACAGGTCATTTCCCCCGTCTCTGGGCTTCAGTTTTTTTCTAATGTAAAATGAGAGGGTTGGTTTAAATAATATCAGAAATCCCTTTTACTTGTAAATCTATGATTCAGTCTTACACCTGTCTAGTCTGTCATCCACAGAATGCCAAAATAAATCAATTAAAGGATGATTACATCCCTCCCTTGCTCAAGAACTTTCAGTGGCTGCCAATTGCCTCTAGTAGGAATTAGAGACTCCAGTCTGGCATTTAAAGCCCTTGATGGTCCCTCTTCAGCCTACCTTTAGCAGCTCACTGCACCCCACTCCCTTTCACACATTCTGTGTTCCAACCTGCCTCTTATTTTCTCAGGAACTTGGAGTTCTGTTTCCTGCCTCCATGTCTTTTTGAAGGCTATCCCCTCACCCCCCCAAACCTGGAATATATTCATTCCCTCTTCACCTCCACTTCTCAGAATCCTGGCTTTCCTTCAAGTCTCAGTTGCATATGCCATGCAAATTCCCTGGGAATGCTTTATTGGTTGTGTTAGCTGTTAGGGTTTTCTCCCTGCTTAAATGATCCTGAATATACTTCTCTTTTTATCAAAGCACTTACTGAATACTTACTGGATTGAATGAATGATCCCATAGGCTCCAGCCTCTGGAGGCAGGTCTCTTTCTCCTAACCCTAATCCCCACCCCCCAAACACACACAGGTACCTAATAGAAATGACCTAACTCATTCACACATTGTGTAGGGGATGGAATAGATGGAAAAGCAAATGTACAAGATACTATTTCTAAGCTGGACCACAGGGAAAGTGTTCTTGGAATGGGAGAATAGACACTGCCTCTTCCCCCTCCTCCCCAGATAAATCTTAGAATTTAGAGTTGAAAATTCTCTTCTTGTGGAGCAGTTTATGTGTCCCTAGGCTAGGAATCTGGAGCTTTGGATTCTAATTTCAGCTCAGCTATGGACTTCTTGGGAAGCCTGATTTCCTCTTTTACCCTCATTTTCCTCCCTAGTGAAATGGGGATAATAATCCAGTTTCTGGTAGACGACAGCTAGGAAACTGTCACCCACCAAGTCCTTTAGTAGGGAAGGGGGTGGGGAGGTGCTGTCTTTAGATCTCTTCTATCCCCAGTTTAAACACTGATCCTCCTGGCATACCACAATCACTCTCCCAATCACATTGTAGGAGGTTTAACTGATTGTAATCAGCATTTGTGAGACCACCCCAGGGGTGTTAATTTGAGGATTGTTTGGGGAGATTTAGGTGAAACTCGGATTCTTCTCTTCAGCCTCCTTTTAGCACCTTGTAAGGACTGTTGTCCTGTGGAGTCCTGGGAAATTTAGACCGGAAAAGTCCGAGTCCCTTAGATCATTAGAGGTCCAATACCCTCCCCCTTCTCCACAAACTTTGCAGTTGAGGAAATTGAGGCTCAGAGAGCTTTCTTCCAGCCCTTAAATTCTATGACAAGGAAGGTTTTCTATATATTTTTTTTGCTATGTGGTCCTGGGCAAATAATTTTAATGCTCTCTGTCTCAGTTTCCCCTTGGGTTAGTCACTTAAACTTATTGGGCCTCAGTTTCCTCATCTGTAAAATAAGAGGGCTGGCCTCTGCAATTTCTTCCAGCTTGAGATCTCTGATTCCATGATCTCCCAACCCTTATAATACGTCAGGGAAGCTTTTCTGTACTTTTGCTTGTGTGGCCCAAGGCAAGTCATTTTGGTTTGGTTTCCCCCTCAGTAAAATGAGGGGATTGCATTAACTCTGTGACTTTGGGACAAATAATAAGAATAGATAGTGCTTATATAGTGCTTTAAGGCCTGCATATATAAAGGTAGCTACTATTATTATCTCCATTTTACAGATGGGGAAACTGAGGTAGACAGTGTTTAAGTGACTTGCCCAGAGTCATATAGCTAGTAAGTATCTGAGGGGGAAATTTGAACTCAGATTTTTTTTTTCTGACTCTAGGTCCAGCACTCTATCTACCCTCTGTACCACCTAGCTGACTTCTTGCTGGAGTGAGTATTGGGGCCTGGTCTTAAAGGGTGGCTCGGATTTCAACAGTTAGAGGTAGGGGAGGGAGAAAAGGTAAAAGCTGGGAAGACTCAGGACCTTTGGAGCCCTCATTTCTCCTGGAGGCTTTAGAGCTTAACAAGGTACATCTCTATCCTTCCTCTGTGAGGCCCAGTCCAAGCTTTACTGCCGTCCTGGGAATATCATGTTGTCCATTCAAAAGTGGGGGGGGGGGGAAGAACCCAACCCAACCTGGAGCACCTGGGGTGGGAGGAGTGTGAAGCAGAGCAGAAGGAGGAGGAGGAGGGGACGCTGTGTCTGGGCTTGGCTGGGAGCTGAGAAAGGCTGTGGGATGCTAGGGAGAGGGGTTTCTTGGCAGAAACCCAGGCTCTCCACCTGGTTTGAGATGTCAGATGTCTCTGCACTTCCCAGGGCAGCCATTTTAGAAGGTTTGAACTAGAAATGAAGCCCTTTAGGCAACCAGAGTCCTAGAATAGGAGAGGCCTTGAGAGATCATGAGAGCCTAGGTGCTTTATCCGTCTTCAGGGATCAGTCTGTGTGGGACAACTGAAAGTTTCTCATATAAAATGGAAGATATGCTCCAGAAATGTAGTAAGGCTTTAGTATAAGCTGGGCCTAAGTTTCATTTTCCTGTAAATCTTATGTTTTTGGGGGAATAAGGTCCTGTACCAGCTGCCCACCCCCTCCCTTGTTTTGTACCTTATCTTTGACAAATAAGGCAATCCAAGTTTGTTTTGAGTAAAATGTCTCTCTTAGTTCCTGGGTAAAGTTGTTTATCTCTTACCTCATCTCATCTGAGGGTATATAACTGCTTATTTGCTGCTCGTGTCTTGCCTCCCTACTCCAGTCTGCCCTGGGTAGATGATGCCCAATTCTTGCTCGAGACTTGCTAGAATAAAACTTCTGTTTTCTACCTGGAGAAACCTTTGAGTTTTTATTTGGGTAAGTGGTCTCTATCCCACTCAATTGGGGGATTGTCCGGAATTTTCTTTGATTAGGGAGGGGGCTTCCTTGCCGAGGTCAAGACCTAACTCACATCTGAGATTTGAGCCCAGGAGGGAGGTTGCTGCCCAGTCTTTGAAATAAACCCAAAGAGAGGGGCTTGGAGAAACAGAAGGTTTGTTAGGGCTCCTACGACTAAAAAGCTGAGAAATTCCAGCTGGCCTGTGAGTGAGAGCAGTCACATAAGTTGTAAGCATGCAACCCCGGGGTAAAGCACTCAGGGGTCTGGAGGTAATTGGCATAGGGTGAGGGCTCTTTAGGGCAGACTCTAGTTTAGATGCGGTCCAGGCCTAGTCAAATTGCAGAACAGATACCTCATCGAAAGGACGCCACCAAGAAAGCTTCAGGGGTGACTGGTGAGGAGTGGGCCACCCTCCTTGCTGATTAGGCTGAGTCTTTAGACTCGGGGAATTCGGTGACAGCTCCCGTAAATTCCCTAGGTGAGGGCCTACCGGTTCCCTAAGAATGGGAAAGGGACAATCTAAATCTGAGCAGTCTGAGTGCAAGTGTGAGGT